CCCTACCCCCCGCCCCGCACCGTGGGGGCCCCTGGTGGTGCCGCCCTCCGTACACCAGCCTCCCAGGTGCGGGTGGAAGTTTCCAGCAGGCGGGTGGGGGCGGGGAGTATCAGGGAGGGTCACAGCAGTGGTCAGGTCCTTCCTGGTTTAGGCTGATGATCAGGGAGGGAGGGAGAAGTCTGGGCCTGGAATCTCCTGCCCCTTCCCCGACAGCCTGTGCTTGGGTGAGTTGCAGCCCTGGATCTCATGCATGCAGGAGAAGGTCAGTCTAAGCCCCTGTTTACAATAGGCTGCTTCTGCCCCCAATACTTCTGCCAGCGTTAAACATCCTCGGTCTTCTGGTGGCTTGCGTGGCTCCATGTAGTAGCTCTGCTCCGTGAGCCTAAAGTGTAACCTGGGTGGCACCAGCTACAGGAAACTTGCTGGTGGAGGGGTCCCCGTGTACCTGATGGCATCAGAAGCCTTAGCGTACCCAGCAGAGGTGGGTTCATTTTGCTGGTTCTGCTGCTGCAGAGGAGGTTTGGGTGTGGACATCTGCCTGTAAAGCTTTGTAGCATAGACTAGGCTAGTGGTTCCCAATCTGTGATATGCTGACAGCCTGTCAGTGGTACGCGTTAACAGATCTATTATAATTACTTTATGTGACAAAAAATTGCTGGTGGTACTTAAGGTTGTATCATTTTAAATGGGTGATGCGCAACCTGTCAGAGTTTGGGAACCGCTGGACTAGGCTTCAAGTCATTCCTTTACGTGGGAGTGTTTGTGCTCTTTAAGACATGGGGGAAGGAGGACATGGAAGTGGTCACACTTTGTGTTTCATGTAATCGTCTAGTAGGTAAAGAATATGCCTGGAAAATGCTTTCTCTGTCCTCTTCTGGCTGAGGGGGCTCCTAACATTCTCCATATGAGTGGGGGTTAGCAGCCTTTTCTGGTGCCAGGGTGAAATGACCCAGCTCTGATTGAAGTGTTACAACCCAGCTGCCACTTCTCTCTGCTGCCTCACCTTGGCATAGTATGTGCAAAGTGCCTGGCCAGCCAACACAGCACCACCAAAGCTTCCCTGCCCCCAGTGCCCCACTCCATGGGCCAGATTCAGCTTGTGGGCTGTAGGTTGCTTATCTTTGCTAGTGTTTCACAGTGATCAGACTGAGCTAAGCAGGGTAGGAGTAATCTTGCTGAAGATGTATAGCAAGGAATGAAAGACTAAGAACCGGGAGCAAGAGCCAGCATGCTCTCCACTTAGTAATTAGGGTGCACTTCTGAATGTCTTGGCTTACACTGTCTGTTTTTAGGTTTGTTTGTGTATTGGGAAGTGGGAGGCATGGGTTTGAATCTGATCAGGCTGAT